AAAATCTTCACTATAGCCTTATAGCGAAGTTGAGGTCTAGGACATAGAGTTCGTTATAATAAGAGTTGACTGTAGTAACCCAACTTAAACGTTAAGATCTGACCGATCTAAAAAAAATAAAATTTAATTCAGATTCACAAACGAACGCACGACTATGGGTTATTTGATTCATTAACCAGTGTACGCTCCAATTTTAATATAAACATTCTCACTATAAAAAGAATGTCCGTCATCAAATTATATCACGTTTCGTCATCACTGCTCATTACACATGTTAAATTTGTTGTATTTAGAAATTTTTGATAAAAATAAAAATAAAAAAAAAAAAAATGGTTGACCTAACTTCCGACTTTAGAAAAATAGTTATTGAAATAAGTAGTAAATCCTCCTTAGAAAAAGGGAAAAACAAACATCGAAATGATTTATTACCACCAGTTAAAAATAATACTAGGGGAGAACAAGACGAATTTCTAAAAGAAGCTTATCGAATAGTAAGAACAAGTGTTAATGACTTACTTTATTGTAATTCTTTTTTTCGAGACTAACTTTTTGTTTTCGCGTTTGTCTTTTTTTTTTATATTAGGATTCTCATATCAATAATTTAAAGATTTTTCTACTTTCAATTCGAAAAGTTTACCTAAACACAGCATCGCAACACTACACTCCTTCAAACTTTAGCTATACTGGCAGTTTTAACCTATCCACCTTTAATAGTAATGATGATCAAAACTTCCTTTCGAAATTTAATCCTTCCACAAATTTGACAGATAAAGAACGAGATGAAATTGACTTACAAGCTAAAATGATTATACAACAATGTCTAGATCGAATTAAGAAATTGGAAGAATCCGAAAAAAGTGGGTTAAATTTGTTCAATTCATGTCAGTTATTATACTTAATTAATAAAATTAAAAATTTGGCAGAACGGCAAAATTCAGTTATGAATAATACATGGAATAAAATATTGTCGACAGCTTTTTCGGCCGAAGGACATGATATGCTACCAGCTATTCGTAGTAGTATAACATGGTATTTAAATAAACGGTTAACTGAAGTTTCAATGATACAAAAAAATCAACAGGAAACAAGGATCATGAAAGAAATTGAAAAGCGGGAAAGGTAATAATAGAGTTCTTATATAAAAATTTCTCATTTTTCCATTTAGCATTTATTTAATTTGTCGAGAATTTATTATAGCACATTGTACAAGTCAGCTTCAATTAGACCTTCTACCCCATTACCATTTCCAACAATGATAAATGAAGAAAAAGAGATACCAGGAAAACATGATGACGAGTTAAATGGAGGTACAATGGTAACAGATGATGATGATGATATTGAACGACACTTGACAACTGAACAAAAAATGATGTTGGAAATGGAAAACGAAACAATGATGAAAGAATTAGCGACGTCTTTGGAACAAGTCAAGTATGCTTCATCATTTGAAGGAATTCTTCACTTCATCATACTGATCTTATTATATTATTTTTTTTTAGTCAAGCTGAAAAGGCATTATTAGAGATATCCAATTTACAATCAGTTCTTTCAAATCATTTAGCAGTACAGACACAACAAACAGATAGATTATATGCCGAAGCTATTGCTACTACCGATAGAGTACAAGAAGGAAATTTGATGTTACAGCAAGCTAGGCAAAGAGCTTCTGACACAAGGAAATGGGTTCTCACATTTTTAATAATAGCCAGTTTCATTCTACTATTCTTAGATTGGTATGATTAAAGAAGATGATTAAACTGTGGTGTAATAATATAATAATAATTTTGTAACTTATTTAAAAAATATATATATAATTGGGATTTATTATTCACATTTTATTAACTTTCGTTTATGCAAATAAATCACTTTCCAAAATAAACATGTATTTGCATTAATAAAATACAATAATACATCCCTCAAAACTATTATTAGGTCCCATTAAATACTTTCCCATAAACTCTCAACTTTACACTTTAAAATAAAATCAAAATATCATTAACCGCTTGCTTCAGTAGTAACTTCAATTGTGGCCTTTTCTTCTGCAGCATTATTATCACCATCGTTTTCAACTTCAGCAGCTTTCTTCTTCTTCTTCTTCTTTGGTTTATTCGGTTTAACACTAGTAGATAATAATTTCAAAATCTCTTCATCTTCCAATTTTTTGTCGCTCTGAACTGATTCAGGATCATATAAAGTACTTGTAATCTTAGTCGGTCCATCGTCAGTTAACAAAATTGTATTAAAGAATTGTGCAACAAATTCTCCTATGAAATAGTTAAGATAAAGATTTTTTAAGCAAAATAAAAAGAAATATCCTTGTAAATAATTTTTTTCTTTTTCTTCAATTAATTACCTTCTTTTACTTGATAGACATCATAGCTATTAACTAATTCATGTTTGTGACATTCAACTATTCCCATTCTAGCTTTTTTCTCATCTTCCAGTGCTCTTAAAGAGAATGGAAAACTTCCAAAGGTTTGATTGATTTCATTATATACAATACGAGAAGCTCTCATTTTCAATGAATATGTGTGATCAGTTTTTTTATAAACTGTAGTTCGTTTGACTGACGGTCTAGGCTATAAAAGAAAAAGAGGAAAAAATTAATAAACTATAGGTATTAAAGGAACTATAGGTATTAAAGGAAAATCTTCTTAACAAATACACGTACCTTCCCTTCACCGGTAGAGATTAATATATCAACACCGTATACTTCATTCTCACCAAACTCTGCTTCCGCAAATTCGCGTTTTTGAGTTTCACTCGGATTGAGAATTACTTGTTTCTTACCTTCAATATTATTCTTTTCTTGTTGATATGATAACATTCCTATAATGAAATAAATTTCCTAAAATATTTCTCTTTTTAAACTTTCTAAGAAAAGAAAAATTAGTTTGATTCGAACCTTCCACGGAATTCATATTAAAAGCTCTGGCAATTTTCTGTATTGTTTCAGTAACTTTCGTATTTTTCAAACCAGGTTTTATCAATCTCAAAGCGGCTTCAGAAGATAAATGAGCAGCTGTCAATAAATCTGCCAAAAGGCCTTTTACAGGATTTTCTTTGGATGCCCCAACTACAATTGTGGTGGCTACAATAGCTGCGTAACCATCAACTTGTGCTCCCAATTGAATTTTTACTAAATCTCCATTCTTTAAACTCTCTGTACCTTCATCATCAGACGATAATGGAGAAAAGTGACAGATAACATTATTCACTGATACACAAGTTGGGAAAGCAATACCTAAACAAATGGAAAGATAATGGAAATATTTCATTAATACATTTATATTAAAATGTGAAGTCCTGTAAGTTTAGTCACCTTTGATAATGTTCTTGCTTTTGACGAAAAGATGTTTTACATTCTCATCAATTAATTTATCACCCATCGCACAAAGATCGATGATCTTCGTTCCATCCAAAGCGGATTCGACCACCTTTTTGAGTACACCTTAAAATATTGAAAAAAAAAATTTTTTTTTTTTTTGATTAAATAATTCATTGAAATAATATAATCCCCAATTTTTTTTTTAAAAGTATTAAAAAAAGCGTAAGAAACTATTATTAAATGCCTATTTATACATTATATTACAAAAAAAAACAAAAATCCATAGTAGCATTCAAAAAAATTTCACTTCAATAGCACTTTATCTCGTTTTATAATATAAACACGTACGATTGGAAACATCAGCAGCCATTTTATATTTACTGATAACATCTTTATTTGCAATGGTTTCGTCAACTTCTAAATTTTTGTCCGTCATTTTACCTCAAATTTTAGTGAACGATAAATTCAGGTGAAAGCCTTTGTTCGGTTTAAAGTTTCCGTTATTTTAATATAATAGACCGCAGTTTTTAAATTCCACATTATTGGGTTACCTATATTTCATTGTGGCGTTGTATATCATCATCGTGGGTAATTTTTTGTATTTAAAAACCTTTTATACTGAAGATCAAACAAAAAACAGAATGTTTAATAAAATGAGATTTCTTATTAATATTTTAGTTTTTTTAATAAAAACAATTAATTTAAGTATCAATAGCTTAAATAAAAAATAATTTAGTAAAATGGTTTATAGTAAAAAAAAAAATGTTAATGAATTAGAAATATTAATTAAAAAAATAATATTATTTAAAGGTAATTTGTTTAACAAGTTTTAGTAAAAAAAAAAAGCTATTAATTAATTATATATAATTTTTAGAAATATTATTAAAATACTTAATTCAAATAAAAACATTTTTTTTTAAAAATAATATTTAAATTAAAGTAAAACTATTAAAATAAATAATTTAGTAAAGATAAAATAAAAATCACATTAATTATAATTAATAATATATTTAAATATTAATTAATCTTTTAATGATTTTAATTATTTAAAATAAAATTTTTAAACTAATTGTTAATTAATATATATATATAAAACACTTTAATTTAATTATTAAAATTAAAGAATTTATAATTTATTTTTGAAATTATTATTATTACTATAATTTTAAATTATTATAAAAGAATATATTTAGCTAAATCATTAGCAAAAAAAAAATTTTTTCTATAAAATATTAGTTATAATAAAATCTTTATTAATAAATATAAATTAGTAATAATATTAGTAATATGATGTGATTATTATAATTACTTTATTATAAGATTAGATCAGTCTAATCTAATTTAGTTTAATTAAAAAACTGATTTTTATCTTTTTTTAAATTAAACTAATTTTATATTTATTATATCATTTTATCTACTATTTTTAACTAATCTAAAATTTTGATTTTTTTTTAAATTTAAACTAATTTATAAAATTAATTTAAAAGTTAATTCTTTATTATTTACTAGAGAACAGGGACTGTAGTTAAGTCTGAAATGATCTTAACTAAAAAATATATTGCAAAAGTCAATCAGAATCGACTCAATTTTTGAGTGGACGAACATCAGGACACTTTACGTAAATATATATAGTTCTTTACTTCATTTTAAACTAATAAAATCTTTTATTAAATTAAAATTTAATTTATAAAATACTATAAAAATAATAATAATTTTATATGAGACATACTGTAACAAAACTAGACAAAATGAACATTGGTATTACCAAGGATTTCAAGGATTAAAATTAGTCATTTATAATATGATTATAATTAATAGTTTTATAATATCCCATTTGTTATCTTTGTTTTTTCCTTGATATATAGAATTACCTCTATATAAAAATAGTAATATGAAATTAATTTACATTAGATCCACTATAAAACCTAAGAATTATTGTACTATTAGAAGTATTCTAAAAAAAGAACAAGGTGAAAAAATTGCACCATATGTTTTTAAAATAAATGATACTTAAATACTGGAAGCTTATCTAAGGAAAAAAAGGATTATCTATGAAATTTATCAAGAAGAAAAAGTTTTCAAAAAAGTATTAGAGAATTTTAGTAAAGAATCAAGAAAAAAAAGAAAATTGGTAAAATAATAAATAATTACTTTTCTTCAACTTTGTTACTTTTTTAATTATCTTTTATTTTCAATAAAAGTCATTTTTTAGTTTCTTTAACTTCAATTTGAGCAACTTGTTAAGAAGTTAACTGTTTTAACTGAGTCTTTAACCTTTTGATTTCCTCTTTGTGATTATCATTCTCTTCTTTTAACTATTTAATTCAGTCTAATAATTCTTGCTTTTGTCTTTTACTTCACTTCTCAGACTTTTCTTGAAATTTGACTGCTTCTTTCCTTTCAATCTCTAAGACTTCTTCAGTTTCATTTAGTTATTCTTGTAGGATATTTATTTGTCTTTCATAAAAAGTAGACTGACTTATTTCTTCATGAGATAAGAGAGAAAGTTCTTTCTCTTCTAAATCTTCATTGTTTCTAATACAGTAGCAAACATTCTTACTATTAACAATATCAAAATCTAACTTAGTTTGCAATCTACCACATCTATTGCATTTTGACAATTCATTGTCCTAATATTTTTCTTTACATTTTTCATAAACTATGTTATTTGAAATTTATTTTCCAGTTACTTTGTTACGTGATCTTATTTGGTGAACAGATTTATTATTTTTGTTTTCAAATTTAGAGCAAAAATCACAAGTTTTTTTACCAATTCTAAAACTGTGTATTCCAGTTCTCTCATTGCAATTTACTTTTTATTTAGACTTGATTTCTACTTGAGCAATCATTTCTTAGTTGTGAAATTTTTCCTTTTTGATTAATCTTTGTAATTTTTGGAACTTAACTTTTCTTTTGTTTTTAATTGCTTAAAAATGTTCTATTTAGTTGATAACTTATTCTTTTCTACAGATAAAGTAAGTAAGATTTATTATCTAAATAGAAAAAATTCTTTAGATTTTCATTTTGTGTTTCACTATCAGTTAATTGCTTACTTAGTTTTTTTGTTTTTTTTGTTCTTTTGACTTGATTCTTCTTCTAACTTTTCAACTCAGACTTCTAGATAAGAAATCTTTTTACTAGCACTCTCAAATTTCTTGTTTTTTTCTTTTATGTCTTCTACTTGAACTTTGCTTCATTTTTCACCAACTGTCAATACTTCTTTAACTTGCTCTTGTTCTATTTTTATTCTTTCTTTTAACTCTTCTACCTCTGCCTCTAAATCTTTAATTCTTTCAATTTTACTTTTGATAATATCTTTAAGAATTATATTCTTAGCTAGTTTACCTCAAATATCATCTCCTTCTTCTATTTGAAAAAAAATATAAACTCTTTGATTTTATAGTTTTCAATCATT